CCCCTGAAAGATGTTAGATAACCAGCATGACTATTGTTAAAGGAAAAGTATGACGTACAGAGGCAACCCACTATTAATTGGCGGCAAGCATATATTTTAAATTAAATAAATTAAAAATATGATTAAAAATTGCAACCCAGCAATTGTGATGATATCATAATAAATAATTGCTCATTTTTATTTAATTAAATTATTTACCAGTTATTATCAAATATATAATACTCAATTATAAAATTTATAGGATTCATTTTTCTAAAAATTATTTATTATAAAACTCAATTATTATTGATAGTTCATTACTACAGTATGTATTTTTTTATAATAATATGCTAATTTAGAAGTGAAACATTTTATAAAATATTATGTACTTTGCTATTTTTGGAGAAAACACATGCACATACATGATTAAAACAAAGAATTAACAATTTTCTATTGTTTTAATTCTTGCAATTTTTTTTAATGCAAAGTAATAGAAGTTATAAAATATGATTATAATTATATTTTGTTTCACTGTTTTCAGTACTACTACTATTTACTATAATAAAGAATTTGTTTTATTAAAATGATAAGATTGTTTAAGAAATTTTTCATCTATAAAAAAAGGCAAAATAAATGTGATTATTTGTTCATTATAACTGCTCAGTACAATTATTTCAAAATCATTAATCAATATGCTCCAAGAATCTTCTAAATCATTCTTTATAATAATCATTTACAAGACTTGTCATCTAAATTTCTTTGTTGAGAATCATAAATGCTTATTAACAGCAACATATTTTCAAAATTTTCATGAAATAACAAGACCAAACAACAAATTTCAAGAAATCTGTTGCAAGAAATATTAACATACTAGATGTTAATTTGGTTGCTGATCCATCTTCATTTAGTTGAAAATCAAGTGTAGTCCATGATCAGTCATTGTATTTTTAATTTCATGTAAAAATTGAATAAAATTGATATTGCTACAATTGAATTGCAGCAATACCAATTTTACATGTTACCATTATAGACAATTCCTTAATTTAAATCTTCTTGTTCTATTTCTGTTTTGGAACTTAGAAAAGCCTGAAGAAAGCTGTTCAACAAGCCAAAAACGTTTACCTTTAATAAATAAATTGTGCTGGCTAAATTTAGAAATTTATTTGGAGTGTTTTTTTACAGTATTACCAGTTATAATTTACATAACATGCATCATCATCTAGTTTAAATCCAAAAATAATCTAGTTTGCAGTTAACCTAAAGTAAACTTTAAAAAATGTTTTTCCTTGTCAATAGCAAATATAAATATTNGTTATACACCATGTATCAAATAAAAATATAACTGTTTAAAAATGTCATTAATCTGTTTTTTAATAGAAGTAAGTTTGAAAACACAAGGATCAAATATCATCTATAATAATATTGCAATATTAAAAATGAAAATCTGAAGTTTACATTTGATCAAATACCTTGTATAAATTTAATAAAACTTACATCTATTTCATATGACATAATTTCATGTATTTTATAGGTAACATACTTAATCTAATTGATGTATGCTAGTAGGTAACTCATTAATTAGAAAATAATAAGTTTAACATATATTCAATAATTGCTGTTTTTTTCTAATAAACTGACAGTATAAAATATCAAATTTGCTTAATTATTATTGGGCTGCAATATGAAAAAATTTTAGATTTAGACCTATAATTTCCTATTGTCATCTGTCTGCCTGTCTTTCTTTATTCTCAAGAACGGAGTTAGATAGATGAAAGACAAGACTAGTTATGGAAAGTTTAGGGGCAGGAGGTTTCAAGTAACTATATATGAACTTCCGATGCAAGTCATGTTATTTCAATTCAAAAACTTTTCCCTGAAAGTTGTTGACCAGCACAACGCTATTGCTAAAGGAAAAGTATGATGTACAGGTCAAGACACTACAGTACTGATTTGAGGGAGAGAGCATATATTTTAAATTAAATAAATTTAAAATATGATTAAACATTGCAGCCCAGTATTGTGATGTCACAATAAATAACTGCTCGTTGTAAATTACATTATTGTGGAAAGACATGTACAGAGCTTCACTTGTATATAATACTTTCACTGGATTTGTATACGTCTAATAACTATTGAATAATGCTTTTCTAATTTAAATATTTCAATTTGAAGCATTGCTTATAAAATTTTGTTATATTAAGTTAAAATAATATATTCATACTGACAGTTTGCAATAAATCAAAATTTATGTTAATAAATATCTGCAAAATAAGAACTAATTAGTGTAATTAATCATAAAATAGCTAACATGCAATANAAGCATTTATTGTGAGATTGTCACAATGCCAGGCTGCAATTTTTAATCATATTTTTAATTTGGATTTACATTAATGGACTTACATTTAAAATATATGCTCTCCATCTCAAATTAGTAGTGGCTTGTCCCTGTACATCATACTTTTCCTTTAACAATACAGTTGTGACAATCATCTATTAACTACTTTCAGGGGAAACTTTTGAATTGAAATAATGTGCCTCTGATGAAGTTCATACATAGTCAATCGGGATCTCCTGCCATTAAGGTTTTGGATTTCATCTATCTACTTCTGTTTGTGAGATTAAAGAAAGACAGACAGATGGACATGTGGGAATTTATAGGTCTACAATTTTTTTCAAATTGAAGCTCAATAATGATGTCATTTAAATCAGATTTATTTATATTATCAAAACTTTGTAAGTTTTTTCAAGATTTGATATAACTTTAAATATTCAGTTTTAAATATTTAACATTTAATTAAATATAAATATTTTAATGAATTTACAGGTAATGTTATATCAGAATGTAATTTGTCACAAAAACTTTGGATTAATTTTACTATTTCATTAAAAGAATTTCTTATATTCTTAAAAATGCAACCTGCTATTTTGTATTCTTATATACTATTCTTTGTAATAAAGATTTTCTAAAAGACATATATTTAATTTAAAAAAAATTAAGTTATCAAATATTTAAATAAGTTAAACACTTTTTATTTGTAATATAATTTCTAACATTCTAGTGATAAATATTTTAACTTATTTATAGATATTATCTCACTTTTTATCAAAAGTAATTAATTTAAGAATTGGTTCTTTAATTTCTTTTAGTTTTTCCAATATATAAAATTTAAAAATTTTCATTTTCAAAGTAATTAATACTTCTCTTGAAAATGAAGTATAGCTGAAGCTGGCCAAATAATAGACTGAAAACAATTTAAATAAAATCTTATTTTTGGCTTCCGTAACAGTTTGAATTTTCTTTTATTTAATTAGCAATTTAACATAAAATTTGTAATATAAAAATATATTAATATGTGCTTCATTTAGCAAACAAATAAGAAAATATGTAACTGAGTGATCATCACCATAAAATGGGAATTTAGTAATAATCAATTTTGAAATAGGTTAAACTAAAATTATATTTTAATCCTCTTATGAACATTTTTATAATCCTAAAAGATGTTAATTTAAAATAAATAATAACTTTCCTGACATTGATAAAATCCGATTTGTCTTATTTTGAATAAATTTAATAATCTAGATTTGTAGATAAAATAGGGATTGATTTTATGCTGTCCATTATGATGAAATCTATCCTATTCTATATAGACATCTGTTGCTGATCAAGTATTTTTTCTAAGATAGAAAATTTCATCATTAAAAATAAAATAATAATAAATCAAAGAATACGTTTCAAAATAATTGTAAGTGCTAATATTTAAGAAAATATTTCTTTTTTTATATTATATTGTATATATTTTTTTATATTATATTGCATTTTTATATATTTTTATATTATATCTGGTTTCATTCCTGGAATACATTTGAAATAAGAAACAAATTATGATTTAATGTGCAATTTGAAAAAAAAATCTTTAAATTTAAACTTTAATAATTTTTTTTCTTATACACATGAATAAATATTACTTATTGTTAATTCATTTTTAAATGCATGTTGTGTTTGAACATTTTAAGTTAAAAGAAAAAAATATTTGAAAAAAAAAAAATCATTCAATAAGATTCAAATTAATTGAAATATTTCTTTCTATTTAATCTGATTAAATTAATGTAATATTTTTCTAAAAAATCAATACAGTGACTTGAAGAAACTAATCATTTCAATGGAGGGCCAAGTTTTGAACTTCAAAGAGAGAAAAGAACAGTTTGTTAAATTACCCAAAACTACTTTGATAATTGCATTAATCACTTTCATTTCTAACATTTTCAGCCATATTTAACAGACCTCCTTCAGGATAAAACGTACAATATGAACGACATTTCCATTTGAATAGAACAAACAGCTTAAATTGTATATTTTGGAATGGTTTAAATCTTAATACCAGACTTTATAAACAAAAATATACACTTTATATACAAAAATACTATAATAAATAAATAAAAATATAAGTATATGCATAGAAATACACAGTATAGAACACCGTTTAATAACAATGTCACATGGCATTAACAATTAAACGTTAAAGCCGAATTCATTATCAGATTAACCACATAAGGAATTCGGCCCGTCGTTTAATCGTTAATACAACCGAGTCTGATTTTCCATATGATTACATCTCGGAGTATTCCTTTTTATATCATTTTCAAATATTACAATATAAATCAAATAAAACAAATCTTTTCATAACAAAATTTGTATCCAGATTAGATATAATTTAAATTATATCATTAACATTATTAAGCTTTACACTACAATCACTTATATGTAACCACTTCAATCACGTGCCATTTGTTTGATAAAATATAAAATCGTTACCGTTCAACATAATTAATACTAAAAAAATGTAACGATATACACGCGACGAAAAACGTTTCTAAAAAAATGAACGTCTTACAGAAATTAAAAACGATTGTCAATAAGATTAGTTTTGACGAATTTAAATTTCCTGGTATCGAATGAAGGCGTAATAACTTAAATAAATAAATAAAAAAGCGCCAATTACTTTAATAAGATTGACGTTTACCTCAACACGTAAATAATAATATCATCTTTTCTTAGCATTCGTCTTCTTCAATATATCAACAAAGTGAAATTTTAGGCTTAACTATGTTTACTTGTGAGCCACTAAACTGAATACGTCTGTCAGATATTTTGACAGAATCGTTTTTGCCTGCCTCTTCGATACCGACCAGGTATCCTATAAAGATGCTTTTTAAACTATATCACGAAGAATTCACAACATTTCGTACAATGCTGGCTTTTTCTATCAACATCCAGATAGCCATTACTTCTTCAAGATTGAAAATAATCTCGCCTCGAGAGACTCTAACATATTGTCCCCTATCGGCGATATTTATAAAATCCACTTACGCAATAGCATCTTTCCTCAATACGGCCAATACCGAATTAAGATTTGTATATGGTCTGTAAATAAGTTTAAATATTGTTGTATTGTGTGTATAATTTCTCAACTGGAATACACTCGATAATTATCAATACAGTACAAATCGTTTTGTCTAAATTAAAAACATTGTAGTATTATACACTATATAGAAATCAAATTTATTAGCCAAATTTTTTTAAGCCGGAATCAATGCGTTTTATATAGTAACTTATCGCGTAATGGATGCTATATAAATAGGCCTACTTAATTCTTGATTGATCTACTTTAAATGATCTTTTCGATTTAAAGTTCATCTATAAATACTTTCTTGAAGCAAATTAATGTTATGACATAATATCGTTACATTAAAGTGTAAACAATGTCGTCTAACATGCTGTATTTGTAATAAGAATGAAAATTATATGCAATATAATTAAATTTTTTTTAGCTACTTACAAATAACGAATTTCAATAATGTTTACGAATCGTGTAGATTAATTTATTCTACGTTTCCGCAATACTGTTTGAAGGATTTTATTAAATATCATCGTGAATTGCTTGAAGGGTAACGGTATTGTTGCCAATTTTATATTCTTTGATAAGAGATTTGGTGCTTTTGTACTTGTACTTTTAATTATTAAAAGTTTAATATTTAAAGTTTAATATATATATTTCTAATATTTATAAATATTTCGTATTTCGTCATTAGCATCAATGTAGCGTAGACACGAAATATTCGAATTTCGTCTTATGAATCGTCACCTTTATATGCCGATTATATTCGTTATTCGATGCTGAATCTAAATGCATAAATTATCATAAGGTCGTCTTCGTCTTTAATATAGAAATGTTGCGAAGGCAACCAAAAATGGCCCTTTGCTCTTCAAAAAGTACAGATTATTCCTTGGTATATTATTGCTAAAAGCAATAGTTCCTATGGAACTGTGTTTCGGGATTATTTGTACGCGTATCCGTTTCTTCGTAATCAAATAAATCCGTTCTCGTTTTCCCCATCCGAATAGAAGAAGAATGTTTTTACCATATTCTGACTTATAAATACATAAACTTGATACAAGGAAGCTACCGTGGTTTAATGCATTTCCTGTGAGCGCAACGTCACATTACCGCGAAAATTTTAAAAACCAAAAAACTAGACTCCTGAAGGGCGGGCCACCTTTAGACACTTGGCCCGTTGCCCGGCTCTAACTACGGCACCGAACAAAGCCAAACGTTTCCAATGTAAAAGTGGACGATACGCACACATTAGCAGATGCAGTGCCAGCAATTCAGGGGTTTCTCCCATAGCGTGATGTAAAAATCAATAATAGTCTGTGGGGGCAAGATATTTTTTACGAAATTTGAAACTTAATATCTGCTGATAATTTTAAAAATTTCTGAACTTTTGCCGTTAGGTTTTTTATTTCGGCTATTTGCTTTTGATATGTTTAGGAAAATGAGAACACTGAATAGGGAGGAATGACTGCATCGTATCTTTTGAACCAACCCGAAGACGTAAAATTATAAATGATGGAAAAAATAAAGAATGTTTGAAAAGTCCGGAAACAATGTTTGCACTTTTCGACTTTTGATATGCAACTGAAAATTGTTCTTCGGTTCCAACCGACACAAACGGTTTTTTGCAGTGCAAGAATAACAGAAAGACAAAAGTATCGATTGAGCAGTCATCCAAGACCCCAGTTGTTCGTTTCGCAGTTTTTCTTCGAGCGTTTTCTCTATTCTTCTGCATATAAATACATTTTCTGATTCGTTTCGTCGAGCTGTCTCCAACGGCGTTTCTTCTTTTCCGGATCGAGTGTTTTTCCAGAGCTACGGGTTCCGGAAATTTGCTACTTCTAACTGCTTTTTCCGACGTTCGGCCGAACGTAAGTTGTAATTTCCGATTTCCTTTGTCTTTATTACTCTTGTTTTTCGGCCACCGTGAAGAATAAGGCTTCTACTATTCTATTTTAAATATCTTTTCTGCATTTATGCAAGAAATCGAACATATTTTAGACCCTTCTCAACGATATTTAGCGTTCCATCGTATATAAAGTTTACACGGGGAGTTGGCTTTATTCGAACTCTTCGTCTTAATGTTCGATTTTATATTTATAAGATTTGGGAAGATCCAGCATATTTTTCGAATTTAGTATACCTTAAAAAGAACCCAGAAGGGGCTACGAAAACGTTTGTTATTAATCACTTAGCGGTTAGTGGTTGCTGCCAACCATAATTATCGTTATCCCAGTGTGGTAAGCAGATAGCTAAACATTTTACACTTAGTATCGAAAACCTAATTGTTGCACTCGGTGAAAATGGGTAAGATCGACTATAATCTACTAACCTTAATCTTTGCTATCGTTACTTTTTTCCGAGCAACGCCGGGCACATCTGCTAGTTCACAATAACAGTATTAGCAACCCCCCGAACCTCGAGTATTTATGGGTCGTAGTTGATCAACGCCTGAAGTGGCCTGGCTTAACCCGCAACAGGCTTGCTAAATAAAGAGGCCCTCTTAGTGCCCAGAGGAGCGAATGAAAAAATAAATAAATAAATAAAACCCTCGGAGTGGCAAGTGTGCCTTTGCCACTTTAACTGTTTCTCTAAAATTATCCTTTCTTAAAAGGAATGCGCTTACAAAAGAACAGAAAAAGATTAGATCTGTAGAAACTGTTTTATTTTTGCAAACATTAGGTTTTTACAAATTACATAAGTTTTATTCTTTATTGAGGCATTTTAAAACAGACTTTTAATAGCATATATATAGGTCCAAACACATATTTTAATGTGTGCGAGAGCTCTCGACTATCGCTTGGATGCCTTAATTAGGCCGTAACAATTACTATTAATGTTTTACAAATATAAATATACAACAATTTATAATTGAGATTAAAATTATTAATTAATATATTAATAATCAATTAATTTATCAAACGTTTTATGTATAAAAAATTTGTTTTGCAATTAATCCTTTTACTAGTGTCTGAATAACAAATATCAATTTGTTGAGCGTGTCGTTCCAATAACAAATTAAAACACAATTCCGGAGAGTCCAAGTTCCAGGGATGACAAAAATTGGGAGTCAAATTTGAGCACAGACACAAGCCGGAAGAGTCCAAATTCCAATATAGACAGGATTCTGAAGTCAAATTCGAGATAGACGNTATAATTTCAGAATCTGACGCGTGTATAATAAAGATTAAAAAGCCACGTCACACCGGTGTGGGGATAGGGGTTAGAATAGAGACGGTTCGAAAAATGCACGTGGTGGTGCTGACGTGATGGCGGCACGAAATACAAACGTGTAAATATAGACATTTTGCGTTAACCAAGACCTTACACGGGAATATAAAACGAAATTAAAGCAAATACTTGGCGAAAATACAACAACAACTTGATATTTATACCGTAATATCGGGAGAGATGGTTATTTAATGGCCATTTCTAGAAATGATTCCATATACATAATTATAAAACAAAGCGTGTATTGTAACGTGAATCTGATGAATCACACCCGCCGAATAACTATTTAGTCGGCAACTTGAATATTAATTAAACTGACGCTTAATGTAACCAGGGAAGTCGTGCTAAAATTCCTTTATTTCCCTCCAAGTTTTTATACGCTTAATTTAATAGAAAATCGGCTGAACATTTGTGAAGTTGTGGCAAATCTTTCTCACCAGAAGTGTTTGAATTTATAACTCTAACCATACGTTAATTTTGCTATTGCAAACGAAGACAGGTGCACTGATTTTAAAGCAATAAACGCATTGTCTAAGATACACTTCTCGTTAGCCCTGTTATTCCATTTGGCTCCTATTTTTGATTAAGGGAGCCAGCGCCAAATCCTTAACTACGTAGTCAAAATCGAATTTTTCGCATATTTGTGTTGTATGGACAATAGATTCGGGAAGGTATTCACACATTGTAATAGAGCAGTGGCGTGCCGTGACATTTGGTGATAGGGAAGCTGCGTTTCTATAAGAAGCCGACTTCCAGGGGCAATCACTTAATCCTTTCTTTAAATGTATTTTTAATAGATTATTTATCTAACGTACTTAATAAATAAACAAGTTCAATATAATTTCCTCTGTTATTAGATCAAATATATTCCTTATGCCCTCTAAATGCCAATTCTTGCTTTGATAAAAACATATAACATCTATTTATTTAGATATAATATATCTATTAACTGTAACTATCTCGTTATAATTTTCAATATTTATTTTATATTATTTACTAATGTTAAATTCTATTTCGCTTCGATTTCCAAATTGCTTCAAATACAAAAGAATCGACGATTTTTCGTGTCTTTTGCCAGCTAAATTGTCAAAGCCATTCTTATTCCACACACTAATTTCATTTGAAAATAGTAGGCAAGCCAACAAAACAATTTTTTCATTTTTATGTATTTACAAAGCCATTTTATCGTGAAAATGTCGAACAAATTTTTTTATTGAAGCGTTTATATTTAATTTAAGCATTGGCCTTTCTCTTTTAATAATGTTTTCTTTTTCATTATATGATCTTGAGCCAAAACTTTTTTAATATAAATTTTCAATGTCGCAATGACATTCCGAATCGCTAGCCACGATATAAGAACTAAAATTAAAAATAAAATTATAAAAACTTTCTCGGTGAAATAAAATGTGTGGTGGATATACATATCTGGTACAAAACATTCCTCAATTGTATGAATATACTTTGAAAGAAAATTATAATTAAATATAGCTTTGTAATGAAACGTACATAAAAATAACATAAAATATTCTTTACTCTTTAAGTCTTAACCACTTAGTCAAATAGCTACCTACAAGTGGAATCAGAGACGGTCCTGCTAGGTGTGCGGTGTGTATATGCAGGCGGGCTGCCAAATCCCGAGGGTGCCCATACCGGTCAATGTCAAATGCCTGTTTATTCGCATCACTAGTATATCTCAAAAGACGCGACAGGGTTCTTGTAAATTTTAAATGTTTCTCACCATAGCTGTAAAAGTCTAAATATGTTAAACTTAATAGATTGTCCGTCTGTTTTCTAACTAATTCGTTCTAGGACCAGGTGTTGTCCACGGAAATTTCCAAAATTTACAACTTTTCGGTCACTCTCGTTGAACTGGAAAAATGTCTGTCTTTATTACATCTAATATTTCGAAGAAATCAGTCTCCACTGTACTCAGCTAGAGATTGGTTCGGCTAGACTTTTGTTTAAGTAAAATTTCGGCTCTTTCGTCAGGGTTTTGTTTATGTCCCAAATTCCCTAATCGATTAATTATTTAACTACTTCTTAAGTAGAAATAAGTCGAAACCAGTTACTTTGTACTCGAATATTTGTAGTCTCGGGAAAAAAGTGGAAAGACAAATTTTTATGACAAACGGATACATAAATCGTAAATTTAAGG